CCAAGAATAAGGATTATAGTATATTCGGGTCCATATTGGGGTCCGCTATTTGGGGAAACTACCATATATATATATACATACATACATACATACATATGTATGTATGTATGTATGTATATATGTATACCCTTCTACAGGAAGGAAGCGAAGTAGTAGCACAAATGTACCACCACCACCGCCCCCGGCCCCCTCCACGTCGTACTACTGCCACTGCTTCGCGAAGATGGCCTTTCAGGATTTCAACTTGCCAGAAAAAGGGTTTAGGGTTTAGGATTGAGGGTTTAGGGTTCGGTTTAGGGTCCAGGGTGGGCAATTTCCAAGAATCGAAACAAAACAATCCGCATGTGTGGGAGACTCCTGGCTTTCCAATACTTATCTGTCATTGCTAGTGTTAGTACTTATGCGATCTGTACTAGGTCAGCTCTGGTCTTCTCACCTGGTAGCGTTCCGAATTTCAGCATGTAGGGCTTAGCCAAAGAGTCCATGTAGGTATATCGTATATACTTAGGGGCCAAAGCCTCTCCTAAATGATTACTTCAGGGTGAAGTAGACGCACTATATTATAGCTACATGGACCTTGGGGCTAAGGGTCGAGCTCTGAGGCTCGCGCAGGACTGTGCGATCCAAGAAGCAAATCAGCACTCCTATTTGACAGGATATAGACGCCCTCAAGTAGATAGAACATGGCTTTGGGTATATTATAATAAGATCCCCATTTATCCCATATTCAATCTAGTGACTATATAGTTAGCAAGCTGAACTCTGACTGAAGCCTCGGGTGCTTTAAAGCGCCAGGTGCATGATGTCGGATAGCCTGTAGCATGAACTACGCCCAAAGCAAAGCCAAACTAAAAAGAAACCCTAACAACTTAAGATCCTAAATCCTAAATCCCTAAACCCCAAGCTCTTGCCCCTGTGTTTTGTTGAGCCGAGGTGGGGCAAACGTCTGGGTCTTAGCCGATTTCTGGAGTATCACCCCCAAAGGGATACCGTGGTTTAGCGTCTAGGATTTAAGGCTTAAGGTTAAGGGTTTAAGATTTAGGGCATACAGTATATACTTATGGCCCAAAGGGTTTCCCATAGACCACTTTGGAGCTCACGTGCATGTTTCTCCATTGACTGGTCTAGGTCTGCAGCAAGGATACAGGTAAATCGAGTTAATTTGGGTAGTCATGTGCGTTTTTTGCAAGACGATGCCCTAGAGTGCAGTCCACAGGGCTTGTGTACGAGGATGTCATGGGGATTAGACACAACCATTTAGGCTAGGGTCAAAGAATGTTCATGGTCAAAAGTAGAGAGAGAGAGAGAGAGAGAGAGAGAGAGGGAGAGAGAGGTAGAGGATTGGCGTAGTCCTGAACTCATGGAAGTACTGAAATGAGTGATGAGTTTTGCCTGGGACGATCACCCTAACCACCCACTCCGTTTTCAGGCCAGGCAGAGCGACCTGAAGTTTGATTTCTTTGACCATTGAACGTTCTTCGAACGTTTTGGAAAAACCCTGCATAGTTCCTTCTTTCCTTCCTAGCATGAACAATCATTACCAGGACCCTGATCCAATCACACTCCAGGGGGGACCTGCCAGGGCGCAAATATGTAAATACATATGTAAATATATGTGCTTACACACACATGTGTGCAGGTGTATTTATGTATAATGCACACACAAGCTCCTTCTAGAAATAAGTTGTAACATCGATATACAAACACGTTGTGTAGGCCTTGCCAAACTTCCTCTGATTGGAAACTCTCCGTCGCAATGCTGCGGTTTGGGGAAGTACGCGCCTGCATCGTTGTAGGGACAATGTAACTGCACGGTCCACGTACCCAATAATTGGGTATTCGGGGTTCTGGTCCTAGTAATTGTACTACAGAATTTGAGTAAGTATAAGAGTATTCAATACTTGGATCCTTCTGGTAAGCTGCAGGGACAGTATAAGTGTGTGTACTGGGGTCTCGACTATATGCAGAAGCAATGGATACCAGTGCCCATTTCATACGATCATTTACGTCACCCTGGCGACATTCCGGTTTCCTTCAACAACAAACTCAGAACCTTTCTTTCCCATTTTTCTCTTATATACCCCCTGATGAAGAGCAGTTTCCAGTTTTTTCTATTATCCCTATACACCCTTCCCTCATCCCTAAACATGAACCCCTAAACGATAAGGTATCGTCGCTGTCACTACAGGGCTGGAACTCTGGCTGGCGGTCGTGACATTTCTTGTCATGAGCCGTGACAGCAGGGCTCAGCAAACGTTGTTGAAAACTGGGTTATACGCGGTTTAGGGTTTGGGGTTGAGGGTGATGTAGGGATGACACAGGGTCTGTGTAAGGAGTATATTGGGGCTTTAGGGATAGTATCCCGATGGATGAGATTTCAGATGTTCAAGTAATGAGTGTCGTGTCCTTCGGAACAGATGAGGTGACCATACGGACTATATCATGCCACCACATGTGAGCTGTAGTCTAGATTCCTTAAAGGGGGTTATATAGGGGATTATATAGGGGACTACTACAGGGGCTATTAGGGGGGATACTAGGAGTGTAGACTATAGCTCATGTGATGACACGTTTGTGTGGATTACTTGTAATTGCAGAATCTATCGTATCCTTTCTACAACCTGAACTGAGCAGATCCTACTGTAACTGGCCATGTGTGCAATGCTTCATGGTCCAGAGACCACTGCATAATGAGGGTTACAATGAGGATACAGTCGTTCATGCATTGCAGTAGCGTTTCGGGTTCTTTCCCCAATCATACAGATCATTGAATAGACACCACTGTCTACATCTTGAACCCAAATCCTGAAGCGTATACCTCAAGCTCGGAACAGTAACCCTTCAAATCGCAAGCCTGAAGCCCCATTTTCAATCTTGAGCCTGAGTCGGGTTCTGGGTACTTCCAAAGACAGAAACAAAGCAACCCGCTGTCTTGGGATTCCTCCAACATAAGAGCTAAAGTCCAAACTCCATAAATCGGGTTGTATAGGGGATAATGTGGGGGACTACTATCGTGTTATTAAGGGGGATACTAGGAGTTGAGACAGTGGCTCATAAAGCAAGCCCTCATCTTTGGAACCAGAAGAAACCAAGAATGTCTCAGAGCAACCCCAACATGTCCCGTTTGTTACTCCCGGAAAATAGTTAGGCTTATTTCTTTTTCACAAATTATGGCCACCCATTCTGCCATCCCGCTATGATCTCCAACTTAAACCCTAAACCCTAAGACGCCTAAACCCTTAAATCCGAAAACCCATAAACCCCCTAAACCCTTAAACCCCTAAACCGTATAAACCCTTAAGCCCTTAAACCCTAGACCCTATAAACCCTAAACCCTTAACCCTTAACCCTAAACCCCTTAAACCCTATAAACCCTAAAACCCCTAAACCCCTAAACCCTTTAAACCCGTAAACCCCTACACCCTGAATATTTAAATCTGGATCGGTACTCTAAGGAGTGGTATCAATGCCAGGGGCCTGCTGGGATGGGACGAGTTTGAGGTGCTTTGTCAGAGTTAAGGGTTTAGGGTTTAGAGTTAAGGGTTTAGGGTTTAGAGTTTAGAGTTTAGAGTTAAGGGTTTAAGGCTTAGGGTTTAGGGTTAAGGGTTTAGGGTTTAGAGTTTAGGGTTTAGGGTCTAGCCTATCTTCTGAAGTCAAGAAGGGAGAGTATAACTCAACCATGGCCACGTTACAGGACTCAGGGTGTTTAGAATTGGGTTGTAATTGGTCTATGTTTGCCCTGTGCTGCCCCGGTGGGGTTTGGGGCTTAGGAATTTGGCTAAGTTCCAGGGTAAGTGCACTTGAGTGATCTTTTGACTTAGTAAGTCTACCTAGTATCCCCGTAACCCCCATTAAAAGCCCCATAGGCCCTGTTACTAAGTAGGCTTACCAAGTCAACAGATCATCCAAGTAGGGTTTAGGTGTAGGACTTGGGGCTTGGAAGGTCGAGCACTGGGTTTAGGGTTCAGGGTTCAGGGTGGGGTCAAATGCCTTCAGGTCAGGGGTAGTATACCTCGAGATTGTGCAACAGGTCTAATAGGAGCGATGTGTGTATGTATATAACGTCTTAAACCAAGAAGTATGTATCCTCGAAGGGGGGGTAGGCTTCCAGAAAATGAATGAATGTGTTTCGGCTTTTGTTTGTTCATGGCAAGCTTGTTCACTTAGACAGACTATAGCAGCCTGGAAGCATGTTTGTTATTGTTATGACTAATATGATTCTTCCCATCATTGCTATTGTTGTTTGTATTAGTATTAGTTTACTATTACTAGTATTAGTAGTACTACTTGGGTTGGGCCCCCACCCACTATAGTGGTATACTGGGAATATATATGGACCCTAATATAATTACCATTACCTCTTGTGGTCACTATTAGTGGGTGGGGGCCCAACCTAAAGTACTACTGCATGTACCTTCATCTTCGTAGCTTTGACCCTTCCCTGTATAGCTAGGTTAACCGGACAAAGACTCAGGTACAGGACCTACAGCCCCAAACTCCAGTGTTTTATGGCTTAGGGAATATAAGGAATAGTTGTGTATTTGGAGCTTTGTAAACCCTCAACCCTAAACCCCAAACCCAAAACCTTAAACCACTTGAACCACTTGAACCCTTGGGCTTTGTGGCTCATCCCAGAGGCAGTGGCCTTCTGCACGTTGATTGCGGCTGTGATGGTTTTTATACCCCTGCGAGCTTACGCCTACGTTTCTTTGGCGCCGCGCGGCCAGCACAGAGATAGGGCACGTGGGGTTTCCTAACATTATGGGTACTTTTCTGGGGGTTCGTATGTTGAGGGGTAGAGTATTTTGGGCCAAAATCGGGGTCCGTAACCGAACGACCAGCAGAAGCGGAAGCTTAAATCCCAGCAAGTGAGAGACGGCTCCTGCCAAATTGATCCGAAACATGGAGAGATGAGTTAGGGCTACTGAAGAATGGTAGGTTAGTCTCGAACGCTTTCAGAAGTAATGGGATTGTAAACGTCCAGCATCACGAATTCCTGTAAAACACAAACTCCGTAGCTCCTCCTGTCGAGTGTTGATACTGTTCTGTGGTATTGTTGTTGTAGCAGAGGCAGGGCTATGGCCTATGCACTCAAATCCCGGAGGTCCAGAATGTGTTGATTGTTCCCAAAAGCCTACTATATCATCATTCGATTTCCGAAAGTTCCAACTACCGAATCATTGTTACCTGGACCCCTCCGGACACATGTGGTCAGCATGTCCCGATTGGTGGTCAGCCGTCTGTCCTCTTTCTTCCACCTTTGCACCTACTCTCTTGGATGTTGCAACTTTAGGTAAGCGTGGTGGTTTTGTTGTTAGTACTGCTGCTTCAGTTAAGAACCTACCACTACATCTCCGGGAACCTGCCCGGTGGGGGGAGGGGCCTAAATCAATTACACGATATGCGGGTATGCGGCAATGAGGAGAATCAAACGGAAATGAATGCAAATTAAATGGGAACTAAGTTTAGGTAGGGGCTATAAAACGATTATGCGATGTAGGGGCCTAAATGCTTACCAATATCATGCGGAGGTCTATTTGAGGTACCTTATACCATATCTAGGATAAGAATATTGGACATTTCATATGAAGCCACCCCAGGTTCTTTTCTATGTGAGTCTCACTATCAGCCCTAATGGAGCCCTTGTATGATCCCTATATATATATATGCATATGTGATTGTCATGCTCTTAAAGCATTCGGCCCAAACCCAGAATGCTATACCCAGGTCGTTGGCAGCACTCTGCGTCGCAAGCGCAGCATATTTAATAGACTTGCAGCTTGGATTGGTTCAATGAGGGTTTCGGTTTGAGGGGTAAGGATAGACTTGTAGTCTGGATTGGTTCAATGAGGGTTAGGGTTTACGAGGTAGGCTTGTAACCAGGATTAGTTTTATGTAGGCACGCTTCAAACCGGCCGTATCATCTGGGATCCCATTGATGATGAGATGTTGCTTGGAGACTATGAAATCGAAGACCAGTCCATTACGAGGGGGGGAATAGGGTTTAAAGTTTAGCGTTTAGGGTTTGGAGGTGGAGGGGGGGTGCGTGGAACCCTAAACCCTAGACCCTTGGAGCACTCTGACACAGGATGCGTCAAGGGTGCTGGGTGCACAAACTACAGACCCTGGAGCACATGAGCCCTAATCTGAACTCCTTAAAGCGGCTTATGTAAGGGATTACATTGGGGACTACTATAGAGTTATTAAGGGGGATACTAGGACTAGGAGTTTAGACTCCACTATGGCTCATGTGTGGTTGCCGGGTTTGCACGGTGAGCTTAGGCTGCACTGCGTCTTGATTTAGCTTTCTTTGCTGTGAGGCTGGGTATCTTTTGAATCAAGTTTGGTAGGGTTTGGGATTGGATTCGTGCAAGCCCTTGAGGGTCCAAGCACCCAAATAATAGGGTTTCAGGGCCCAACTATTGTAATATTGATGGTGTTTGAGCCCTGAAGCCATATTATTTGGGTCCTGTGACCCTTACAAACTCTACAGAGCAAGGACATGAGAGCGTGTGCTTATAGGCACGTTGTTTGATCCCAGCATGCCGCCCCATTGACGACACAAAACTGAGCCCCGTCCGTTCAAACCTCCGACATAAAGTGTGGGCGATAGAGTTTGATGCCCATGAAGTCTGTACCAGTCCATTACCTTAAGGGTCCAAGGACCATGATAGGAGGCTTTGAGAGCACAAATAACATTAATGTTATTTGGGCCCTAAAACCCTGTTATTTGGGTCCTGGGACCCTTAGGGTAATTTTTATTCCAACAAGATTGCAGGCTCCTCATTCTCCAGGTGAAATTGTAACATTTTGCTGCAGTAGTTCCGGATTGCTGTCCCATACCCAAGGCCATACTCCGCATCATGTCTTTTCTTCAGAGAACGTCTTAGTGTGGCCCAAAAGGTCCAGATTCGCAATAGCTGGGGGCTATAACATAGTATGAGATATACTATTTGTATACTATCATATAGTATGGTATCATCTAACATAACATGTTATAACATAATTTACTATCTATCAAAAACAAACCAAACCTTCCTCCGTCCCCATCCAGCAGGATCCAAAATGCCTGATAGTCATGTACCTCCTCCAGAGCCATAAGCCCGGAACTACTCCTTAGGGTTTAGGATTTATGATTTAGGGTTTAGGATTTAGGGTTTAGGGTTTTTTGTACAGGCTTCAGCATTTCTACCCACCCTTCACCCTTGCAAACCCTAAACCCTAGACCCCTACACCCAGATACACCCAGAACCACCTTACTTGGAGGGTCAGGGGGACTTAGTAAGTAGCTTAATAACCCCTAGAAGCCATAGATTAACCCCAGTTATTCCCATTACGAACCAACTTACTAAGTCCCCCTGACCCTAAACCCTAAACCGCAAACCCCAAACCCTAACCTATTTACTTGAAGCACTCTGACCCTCCAAGTACCCCCTAAATCCTAAACCCCGAGCCACTTGGTTCGCCCCGTAGATCTGACTAAGGTTCCTTTAAAGGGGTTTATATGGGGACATATGACCTACGGACTAAATTCAAGTTGGGGGGGACCTATAGGGGGAATATATACGGTTTTTGGGAGGACCCATTGAGGGATATACACAAATTTGGGTCAAGGCTGATATAGGGATATATGGGAACTATATAGGGGCAAGTACTATTATATGCATGGTATTTGGGCCCTGAAGCCCTATTATTTGGGTCCTTGGACCCTCAGGGCTGAGTAAGGTTCCAGATGGATGAGTGGAACTGGCCTTCCTTCTCCGCCCCGCAGACGGCCGGAGATATCTTTCGGGTCCTACGGCCGCATGATATTCCTCAGGTTTCAAACCCAAAGGGTCCATGTAGCTATATGGGGTATACTTGGGCCTTAAAGTAGGTATATGGGAACCCCTTTGGGCCCTAAGTATATGCCATATACCTACATGGACCCTTTGGGTTCTTAAGGTTTCAAAGTGTTGAGCTGGTGGTTAAGGGCTGTTCGAGTTTAGGGTTTGGCGCACGAGTGGGGGAGCTTCAGATTCCGGATCGTGGAGGTTTGGGTTGTAGACATGATGTTCTGGGTAGGCCCCTGGGATATTTACTATTTTCCCTAATGGCTTCAATAAGGGACCCTATGGGTTTTAGGGGCCAACCCAGTGTTCTGTGGCTTTCTGAGCTCGGATTGCATATTTGAATCTTGATCTGATGGCGTCGAATCTTTCTGCCGATCTCTGATACTCGTATGCTACTGTTGATCGTAGAATTGTTGCACTACCTAGGGTCTCTAAACTAGTGAGACTCATGTGATCAAAAGCCTGAAGTCCTTAAGAGGGGTTATATAGGAGATTATGTATAGGGACTACTATAGGGCTTATTAAGGGGGATACTAGGAGTGTAGACTATCGCTCATAGTACTTCGGAGCTTGAGCCGGGGCCAGGGTTTCTCCGTCCACCACATCTCTAATTAAGTCCTTGGAGAACTTTACGAACTGAAGTCTGTATTTGTCTATGCAGGCCTCTCACTAGGGATCCATATAGCCCAACGTAGGTAATATTTACAGGCTATAGCGCCCCATGTAGGTGTTATTTGTATACTTGGATTCTTCGGGTCTTTCTAAGACCTTCCGCCTAGACGGTGTCGGATTGGATGTGCCGATGGCATGTGAGCTGTAGTATAAACTCCTTACAGGGGGCTTATATATGGGATTTATTTAGAGGAGTAGTATAGGGGTTATGAAGGGGGACACTAGGAGTTTAGGCTATAGCTTATATTTGAGGGCTCTTGCTGCGGGCCGTCGGGCTCCTTAAGGGCCAACCGCCCGAATGTTCGTAGCGCTGGGGGCAAGTTAGGCTTCAGGGTTTTTAGGGCTTGGGTTTACGGCTTAGGGTTTTGAGGGCCTAGGGTTCCAACTACCCTAGTTCACAATTCAGGGCACCTGATCATCCACGTGGCGCTGGAACCCGAAGCCTGATGATTACTGTTATCATCTTTATTGCCATCATTAGTACGACTGTTAGTGCTATTGTTACCTATTGTTCGTACTACTACTATTATGGTGTTTATCATATCATTATCTGTTATTCCTCCTCCTACTACTACTACTACTACTACTACTGTCATGATTTCTCTTATCGCTCTTATTTTTCTGTTGGAACTCAAGCCTCAAGCCAAACTGCAAAGCTTACGTGGGCACTCGACCTACCCTGTTACACATCAGGCTACAATTTGGACCTCAAGTATGCATTGGCTCTAAAGCCACAAGCAGCAGCGACGCGGCGCTTTTCCACGGGCAGTAGATGGCAACTAGGACAAGTAGTCTGCTCCCTTTAAATGAACGTTATTCCAGTTGCTATCACAAGTACGTCCTATTTTCACTGTATACCCAAGATATGATAAATTGGTTAAAGTTCCCCAAGGGCAACCAGTCAAAGTCCCCGTCATACGCGCCAAAGGCCTACGGCCTCATCATCTTTTGCTTCGCCGGCCATCCATGCTTCCCTGCGCTCCATCAAAGCATGAGCGACCGTTCCCAGTGGGAGCCATGTGCAACTTGCCGGCACCCGAAGGCCCTACACAAAAGGTGCAAATCCTGTGCGGGCCGTTAGAAAAAGAATTGAAAGAGCCAACATTCATAGGATTTCTATAGCGCAGACTGGCGTTTTACATCATACGTTGTCACTCAACCTCATAAGCTAGATAGGTTGCTTTATCGTTCCTATCTAGGGAACAATCACTTAGGCTACGAGACGCGTCTAAGCCATGATCTACCATAACTGATGCTGCTCTACAGATTCCTGGTGCTGCATCCCTCAGACATCGGCATGCCCATGTAATTCTTCCATAGGGTTCATGTAGCTAGATCGTACATATTCCATCCCCAAAGTGGTTGTACAGGAAACCCTGCGGGCCTTAAGTATATAGACCATGTCCCTACACGGACCTTTTGGGTATGCAGGCAAGCCTAGTGGAAATTGATTGTGGTGTGTTCCCTGCAGAAAATTCTTGGTGTTCACGATGTCCTTGAGTTTTGAATACTGGTACTACATAATTAGCAGCCATATAAGACTGACAAAGAATGGTGATAATGATCATACATAGTAATAACACCAATCAATGGCAACGTTCGTAATACAAAGCAAGACTGGTAACTATACTAGATTTTGGAGTGCGGTCTCAGGGCTCTGGTCTTTCAGATTTGTTTGGGGTGTTGGACTCAGTCAACATGTGTCAGCAAATTGGAGGTGCAGCTCTTTCTCCATACAGGCTATACCGAGGCAGTAAAAAGACCCTCACTTCGCAACGGCAGCCGCGTTTTGAAGTCTTGAAGTTGCGGAGACGCAAAGAGATCTAGCGATGAAAGCAACTCCCATCCCGACAAGGCAACAGATTTTCACACTGTACGAGCAGAGTGATTCATAGCGTGTGTTAATTTGTCAATCAAGTACTAGCCCGTCCACCTCCTCCACCCTCAAGGTGTAACCCTCATCGTCATGGGCATTGTAGTGCTTGGGAGACTCAATCCAAGGTCACGTGGTCGTTCCTCGTGGCAGCTGGCTACTACGCCGCTGGGCTCACATGCAAATGTTTTAGGGCTTAGGAAATCTGGTTTTGCAGTTCTTCTAGTCATCCTTTTCAGCATGTCCCGCGCGGCATAGGGCATCAAAACTGTAGCTTCAAGCTGCTTATCTGAATTCCGTCGCAACACATAAATTATGCTGGTATTCCGGGTTTTGTGTGAGCTTATGCAGGACTCTTCCGGAATAATGCTGATAGTAATA